TGAGTGAGTGAGTGTGTGTGTGAGAGAGAGTGTGTGTGTGAGAGAGAGTGTGTGTGTGAGAGAGAGTGTGTGTGAGAGAGAGAGTGAGTGTGTGTGTGTGTGTGTGTGTGTGTGTGTGGGGGTGTTGGTTGTTTTGTTGGTTTTCTGCTCGCTGCCTCTCTGCATCAACGCACGTGCAGTCACTTCAACCGGCAGCACCTACAGGCAGGATAGAAGTGTGTGTATGAAGGCTCGCAAGTATGCATATGTAGCAGTTCAAAAGAACATGCATGTATGTATGTATGTACGTATGTATGTATGCATGTATGTATGTCTGCATGCATGTATGTATGAATACATGGATGGATGGATGGATGGATGGATGGATGGATGGATGGATGGACGGATGCATGTGGGCATGCACGTATGTGTGTATGTGTGTGTATACATGCACGGACTAGATTACACAAGCACGCATGCATCATGTATGTGTGTATGCATGCATGCATGCATGCATGTATGTGTATACGGTATACATACATGCACGAATGTATGACCATGCGCCCTCCTTTTTTCACACACTCTCTCTCTCTCTCTCTCTCTCGAAGTAATATACTCTTTCGTAGTCGTCACAGGCTCAATGAGGGGAGCTTTGAAGCTTCAGACCCTGAGGCACTTTTTAAGGCTTAGGGTTTTTGGGCATGGCATGGGGTTTAGTTTGGGTTTCGATTCACACGCTGGCACAAGGCAGGCATGGCTTCACGACGTCTGTTCTAGCGTTTAGGGTTTAGGGAGTCTCATTACCCATAGACTCGGTTGGTATTATAGGATCCTATCCGGTAACCCCAAAAAGGAACTACCCATAGGCTCCGGTATGAGCAGACGGAACCGAAAGATCGCCGCGAGGATCCCGATCGTAGAAGCATCCGACTCGGGAGCGTCGATTGCAAAACGCCAGTCTATACCCAAAGGGTCCTATGTACGCCTGTATGGGGATAATCCCCTAAATCATAATAGTGATTCCTAAAAAAACCCCTACATTCTACTATATATGTACATAGGACCCTCTGGGATAGGAATCATGGATACTATTGTAAGACTCTGATTTATTAAGAACCCTGGTTTTGTTCAGTAGGGTTCTTTATATAAACCCCAGTATATTGGGCTCATAGGGCCAGAGTTTCTTAATCAGGCTCCTACATTCTAGATCCTCCAGTGCCGGGGAAATAACCCTCTACTAATACCTTCCCTAAACCCAATTTGCATCCAGGACTCTCGCAAACCCTAAAAACCCTGAACCCTTTATGTAACCTGCAACCCCAGACCCCGAAAGCCCCAAACGCCAAATCCTCAAACCCGAAGTTCACGGAGCCCAGCCGCCCTTCGGCTGTTCGGGAGCTGGCTGCGCGGCCTGCGGCGGCGCCATGAAAACCACCTCCACGGGCTCTAGGCGTCTGGGTTTATAGAGGGGCCGACGGAGCGGGGGTTCAGGGGGCTTAAGGGTTGCGGTTCCACCGTTTAGGCATCTCTTCGCCCAAAATATGCAAAGCCAAGCCCTACATGAGGTCCATTCCCGGAAGCCTTTGAATTCAGCCTGCTACTGATCCCGAATCCGTGCAAAAGTCAAGACAGCGTGCAAGCTCAGTGTCTTTTGCGCGCATTGTTTTGCATCGCCGTATAATCGTCAACGTCCCTTCTCGACCATAGTGGAACCGTGAAAATGGGTGGCATCTGTTCTCTTCGCTCAGATTACCTGAAAACTGTCTTGGGATGCGTGCAAGGGTTCAAAGGCGACCTACTGTCATTCCCCTTCTTGGGTTTAGCAGACCTGTGCCACACTTCCAAGGCTCACTGCTGGGTGGCTACATCGACGTGGCAAAAGGTGACGCCCCCATAGACGGGCTCACTTTCCCAGCACGGCAAGATCGCTAGGTGACAGTGTTCTTTCCCCTGCGAAGCCAGACCAGTCTGTGCTGTCCATGGCCACATTCAGCAGGACGTAGGCGCCACCCAAAAGAAAGGTCACTGCGCCGGAGATGATGGCCACCCACTTTTTCCTCTCCTCTTCGGCCGTCAACCCCCTTGTGGACTTCATGTCTGCTTCCCACTGGTTCACCTCGTCATCCAAAGGCTCGAGTGCTAGGAACTGCCTCGCCTTCTTGAAGCCCTCCCCCGACTTCACCTGAAAGCTCGCAGAAACTTCTTTTTGGGACGACAAGTCGGGACATCTCTGTTGCGACTTAAAGGGGGGCTCAGGACTTAGGTTAGGACTAGGATTCATGGGCTGTAAAGCCTCGGGTTGAAGACTGTATACAGCAGGGTTTAAGGCTCAGGGTCTGTAAGGTGGGGAGTGTACGCTGCCTCCTGAAAGCCTGCCACGGAAGCGCCTGGCCGAACTGCGCCCGGCTGCGGCGCGGCCTCTGGTGTCGCGGTCCTTGCAGCGGTTTAGGCTTTAGGCTTTAGGGCTTGGCTTCTTGTTTAATTGAGGTGGTTTAGGGTTTTGGGGCAGGTCTCAAAACCTGAAGCCGCAGATGGCCTGCCAGTAACTCTGATCTCGAAATCATATATCATGTCGGGGCTTTGTTTTCTATTCTACAAGGCTACCGCTACCCTAAACCCTAAACCCAAAGCTCTGCATGAGATTGTCTTGCAGCAGGCCTCGTTGCCTTAAAACTTTTCGAATCAGGCTTAAGCTCCCTGCCCTACAGTAGACTCAAAGAGTTGGAAACCCAATAGCGTTAAGAGTAATGAATAGCCTGAAGAGTAATGTATATAGGGAATCCCGGCACTAAACCCTAAACCCTAAACCCCTAAGCACTAAACCCACTAATTATCCTTAATCCGGCTTCCAACCTTTTTGAAGTTTACTCTAAACCCGAAAGCCTGAGTTGTCCAGTACTTTTAGGGGAAGTGGTCAACCTTCGGGGTGCTCCAGGGAGTAGGGTGCCCCCCGCCCCCCGCCCCCCCCCAAAAAAAAGAAAATCCCTAAACCCTACACCCTAAACCCTCCTACTTTAAACCCTGAGCCCTAAACCCGATTCCCGTACGAGGAGTTTCACGGGAGCAGAACTCGAATCTCGGAGCTTCATAGATTCGCCCTCTTTTGTGCCTTCCTACTTAGGGCTGAGTGCCCTTGCCCAAAAGGTTTGGGTTTTAGGGTTTAGATGTTTTTTCCAGTTTTTGTGGTAGGATTACATAATACGCCAAGAGGGCAAAGGTTAGCTACTCAGCCACTAAGCCTCGACCCCACTAGCCAGCCTAGGCTGGCCTAGACTAAGTAGTTCAAGCTACATGAGCTTAAACTCGATTTCGTCGGTTAACTTAATTTTAATCCCGAATCCTTCCACCTCGGGTTTAGACTAGTTTAGACATTCGATTTAGCAAGTTGCCGTTTTGAGGTTCAGATTGGGCTTCGGATCTCGTTGGGTTCATGCCTGGCTTCTTGAATCATAAGATGGCGGGCCGGGGGGCTTCAGAAAGAAGGACAGACTCACGGTAACCGTGCATGCATATAAGTATGTACCTATGTATGAATGTACGTACGGGTATGTGTATGCACGTATGTGTGTACATGTGTATGTCTGTGTGTGTGTGTATGTGTATGCATGTGCATGTATGTCTGTGTGTGTGTAGGTCTGCGCACGTAGGTTTTTATAATGTTGGTGTCATGTGCATGTGCATGAATGTTATGTAAATGTGTCAACATACACATTAATATATTCAAGATAAGCATGCGCAGATACTTCAACGACATGAACACACAATCAGATACATAACCCTGAAGCTCGAATGTAAATGAATTTGAATCCTCCCCCTTCTTGGAGCTATGCCGACGCTTGCTTCTACTACGTAAACCCTAAACCCCTTAAGCCCTAAACCCCTAAAACCCCTGAACCCACCACTATGCTTTGCTTTAGGACCTGGGGCTAATTCTGTGGGGTTTAGGGTGTTGCATTGATGCCTTTCGGGGCTAGGGCTGTGGGTTGATCAGTAAGGTTTGGGGGCATCGTGTTGCGGAGTTTCTCCTCAGTTCATGGCAGCACTCCGAAGTCCAACACCCTCATTGCCGAAACGATGAAACCTCCCAGCCGAAGCACACTGAAGTCCTAGTCGTTGACACCTTAGGGTTTAGGGTTTAGGGTCCCCGAAACCCTAAACCCTGAATTACAACCAAGCATCTGCGTCTTCGGCGACGCGGGCGTCTCAACCGGCTCCTTTGAGGTGCAGGTGCTGTAGGTTGAAGGGGTGTTGGAAGGAAACAGCTTTCATTGAAATATTGAAATCTGCAAGCTTTCGGGTTCTGAAAACTAAACGCGCCGTGCTCCACATATTTTTGGGTGTGCGACCGAGGCTAAGGAACAACCGTATCCCGCAGGCTCGTTGCTCCACCAAAGCCCGAACAAACCCATAAACCTTGCTGAGACTCCCGAATCCTCCCGGGTAATGAACTGCAGCTCATTTAGTTACAGGGTTTGGTTTTTTTTTCCCACCCGCTTCGCTGGCTAGGTTTGGGGTTTCGGTGGTTTACCCTATGCTTCCCAGGACCTTATAGTTAGGGCCCTAGACCCCTTAAGGACCCAATAATAAGGTCCCTGGAAGCATAGGGTTAGGACAGAGGCATTCGGCAAAAGAAAGGAGCCACTCACAGTTTGGCGAGAACCGATGGGCCTACAGGCACTTTTTCCCGTATACCCAGCAGAAGCGCTTCCGCAGCCTGCCAAACACTGGGTTTAGGGTTTAGGGGTTTAGGGTTTAGGGTCAAGGTGCTGGTACCTGTTGCAATTTTGCTCAGGCTTGAGTCGCGAGACCAATAATCAAAACCCCCAAGCGGTCCAGCAACACTTCATGAGCCTACCAGTGACCCGTGGGGCCTTCACAGTTAGGACAGACTTCTGTGGTATGCCATTGAAATTTGCTGGAACTCCAATAAAGAACCAAAAAGGGCAGTAGTTATAGCAACCCAATAGGTATGAACCTTCATGCAAAGCCTAAACCCTGAATTCCTCCACTCTGTACCCTATACGACACAAACGTGACTCCCTCGACTCCTCCGTGGCAGCCCGCGCAGCACTCCGGGCTGCGGGGCGGCGCGGAGCAGAGACGAAAGTCTCAGAGAGGAAGCCCACGACCTCGAAAAAGTCTCTTTCTAGGCTTTTTTTGGGGGTTTAGGGTTAAGTGCAGTGGGACTTTCTCCCTCTTTCTAAGTTTTTCCCTCCCACTTCCCGCATTGCAGGGTTGAGAAGGTTGGGGGTTTTGGGGTTTGGGTCTGGGGTTTTGATCCAATTCTTATTCTATGCTTCATCAGCATCGCCCCTGTTGGAGACTCTACAATTTTACTACTGCTACTGCCACTGCTACTGCTACTGCGACTGCTGCTACTACTACTACTACTACTACCGACCGTGCAGGCCCCCCGAACTCCCTGCCCCGACACCCTGTTTCGTCACACCTGATCCTATCTGTCAAATGCCAGCCAGAACCCTAAACCCTATACACCCCAAAACC